ATTCCATGCTTGATTGATTTTGCATTGAAAAAGCAACCTCAAACTTGGCATTATCAATTGATCAATTCTAACCATTCACGAAGTGTTAATTTAATAGCTCTTCTGTTTCTAAAATAATATTTTTTTTTCTTTTTTTATATGAATTTTTTCATGTATTAAAATTTAAGAATGGTTTATGATTTATTTATATTATTTTTAAGAAAAAAAAAGATAAATAAAAAATTTTTGCGATAAATTAAATAATTAATGCTATTATTGTATAATAATATAGTTAAATTGCCAACGATTTAAATAATTAAGTGGTTATCTCTTTCCGCTAAAAGTAAGAGATCCTGAGTTCGAATCGCATAACATGCGAGTGGGGTGGGATAAGAAATAAAAGATGATTGCTTCCCATTGTGCAATTAAAATAAAAAAAATTTAACAACGATTTAAATAATTAAGTGGTTATCTCTTTCCGCTAAAAGTAAGAGATCCTGAGTTCGAATCGTATAACATGCGAGTGGGGTGGGATAAGAAATAAAAGATGATTGCTTCTCATTGTACAATTAAAATAAATAATAATAATAATAATATAGTTAAATTAAAAAAAAACATTTATTTAAATTAAAAAAAATAACTATTAATTTATAACAAATTAAAAAAAAACTGATGCTGGCTCAATTTCAATGCTAGTTGCATACCTAATTCAGGATGGAGGGAGTAAAATAAAGTCTAAGGATGCCAATGGGGCCTCACAGGGCTGAGGAGTCCTTATTTGTCCTTGTCCCCGCAAATGGTGAAGATGGGAATTTTTTATGAGGGCAAATTTTGCCCTTTATTCTTGTTTCCTACAAGGAATGGGATCCTCGCGAGGATCTCCATTCCCTATCAATTTATATCAAAATATAAAATTTTTACATACAATTAATAATATTCAATTAAAATGAATAAAATTTTAAAAATTTAAATACAATTAACTAAAATTCCTTAAATATAAAATCAAATATAAATTATCCAAATATAAATAAAGATCAATTCAACATAAATAACTAAACTAAAAGACTTGATCCAAACATGAATAAAGATTAATCCAACATAAATAGCCAAACCAACATACTTGGGTTAAGTTTAATTTTTATTGGATTGGCTTTGAATTTAAATTGTATATTATGTATTGCTATAATAGGTCGAATTAAATTTAAAATAAAATTAATTTATATATTCTTTTAATTTTTTTGTGGGGATGGGAATCTCCGTGGATCCTATGGGATTGAGAAAATTTCCCATGTAATTTCATGAAGAAAAAATGTCCTTTATCCCCACCCCATAGGAAGAAATATTCTTCCTCGTCCTGCCTGTATGGCGTACAGGATCAAGTCAAATTACCACTCCTAATAAAGTCCTAACAAACATGCACTTACCTTCAACATTCTACTGTTATAAACATGCACGTTATTTATATTACGTGCTTTGGAGGAATACAAGAACTTCCAAAACCGATCTGGTTTTCACATGGGTTGA